CAGAGGAATGATCTTCGACATAAAGGAGRTTGCGGACAGTTTGATGTGGCAAGAGAACAGCATCATAGAGTAAGAAATCGGTAATATCAATCATGGCATGGACCATKACACCGTCGTTCCACACCTCCCAATGGTCAGAGGCGTGTACAATAGCCATGTAATGGCCAGGCCCATGCACAATGATATATATATATATATATATTTTGGACCATTTCTCCATTTATTGTTGTCATCCTTGCGCCAGGGCTATGCTAATCTTCTCTGTATCATTCCAATTTAAGGGATGTCCTGAAGGACGCTGCTGATTCAAATTGTTCGATGCTCCGGTACCTTTAGCCGCTAGGTACCAGGATGAAAGTGCAGGAGGCCAAGGAGTCGGCGCAAATTGCATGCGCATCTGACAGGGGCCTGCTAGATGTGTATAAGAGACTGTTCGATGCTCCGGTACCTTTAGCCGCTAGGTACCAGGATGAAAGTGCAGGAGGCCAAGGAGTCGGCGCAAATTGCATGCGCATCTGACAGGGGCCTGCCAGAAAGCTGTAAGGCATCAGAAGGGTGCATGCAAATACCAGAAATTACAAGTGCAGCATGCAAATTATCACAAATTATAGGGGCAGATTGTAAATTTCACCCAACGAAAAGAAGAAAAGAAAAGAAAAGCAAAGAAAATAGGGCAAGGCGCAAACACAAAGAAAACTCACCCCCCCATGAACGACTCTGCTGTATGTGTCATATCCACCAGCATATCTTGTCTAGTTGATGTCCCTTTCAATGCTATAACTATCGCCTTTTGGGAGTGAAGCACTGCTATGAAGTAGGCAGGCTTACTCATTGTTCCCATTGGATAATGCTTAGCGACTTCTGCATAAGACACCTAACACGCAGGCATGAACAATATAAGTTATAAACCCATCACATTGTGCAACGTGGCCAAACACTGATCATTTAATCCGTGGGATGTGAACGATTTACATTCATAGACATGAAATTCTACACCATAGATTTTTTTTTTCCCTTTTTTACACAACACACTCAGCCCCTTCTATTCTGGGGGGCACCAGTCCAGTTACTTATCCCTGGCAAGCAGAAAAGGAACATCAATGATTGTCAATACGGAGCTGGGGAAGGTGGTGATAGCAGTAGCGAGCAATACGGAGACTCCCTTTGGTACCCAGGCATTACCCCCTCTTCTGCTCCCAGGGCCCTACCCCATTACCGTCCAACGTGTCCTGTCCGGGACAGAATCTGGGCAATAACCAGCGGGCCAGAATCTGGGCAATAACCAAAAAACAAAACCGTCCCTAGGGGGCAGGCTCAGGAGTATGAAGTACTATAAAAAGGGTCTGAACTTTTCACTTTACAGGGGGTTAAAGGGGGGTTAAAGGAAAGGATTCAAAGGAGTGTATATCAACTTCCTTTCCTTTTTTTCCTTCTATCCTGAAACTAGTTCAGAAGGTGATCCTCAGGCAAACATTGTTTACATTGCAATTCTAAAATACAGCTTTCTTTTCACGATTTTTTATTCAGTTTTTTTCCCTTTCCCATTTCTCGCAAATTCTGCACTAGAACTCATTGCTCATCCCTTGCCCGGTTGGGCTGCCTGTTGGGTCACTGGGGTGGTAGCCTAGTAAATTCCTTATATATATCTAATGCTCTAAATTTTAACCCACGTCTAGCATAACGCTGTCCTACAAGACCCCAGAAACTGGCGGGGCCCAAGGCGCGGCTCCACGGCAGGGGTCCACAATGGACCATTAAGCACCGCGCAGCCGCATGGGACTGCAATTTCTACATGCTGCCAAAGCACGAGACGCTAATATTTTGTAACACAGTGTCACACGGTGTGTTGTTCACCCATGTGGCCGTTACATACACACACACACACACACACACACACACACACACACACACACACACGCACACACACAGAGAGAGAGAGAGAGAGAGAGAGAGAGAGAGAGAGAGA